GCTGAAGATCCTCTTTAAGCCGTGTAGCAGAATCGTATGTCCTTAGCACATAGTGTGAGACAAAGCCACCAGAGCAGACAGTATGTGATAAGGACATTCCAACCTGAAGATGTGGGACCTGTGAAACCCTCAAAACGTGTTGTGTAATAATTGCCAACCCCCTCCCCCCCGATCCTATCATCATGCAAGACTTTGGGAAACACCCAGTTAAGAAATGATGAAGATATGAGCCAACGCCTGAAGGGTGAGGAGCACAACAGTTCCCTAGGAATCCAATATTTGACATTCTGCAATATCTACTGGTGGCAGAGACAAGCCCAATTTCCCCTTTTGGGTGAAGTTCCACCTTTAAGGTCATTGTATGAATATCACAAGTCTTTTCCCTCTGAGAGATTTAGAGAATGAACTGGCCTGGGATACCAGAGGAGCAAAATAGTTTCTTTCTTTATATATGGATGAGATTCCTAAGTGTTTCACAGAACCTGAAGAAGTGGGACCTGTAAAACCCTCAAAATTTGTTGTGTAATAACTGCGAAAAACACCCCTCTGATCCTATCACCGTGTAGGACTTTGGGAAACACCCAGTTCAGAAAAATGATGAAGATATGAGCCATTGGCTGAAGGGTGAGGAGCACAACAGTTCCTGAGGAACCCAATATTCCATATTCTGTAATATCTACTGATGTACGACCATTAATGGGCCTTCTATGGCCAGAGTATTTGGAATTTTACCGGATCTGAAGATCCATTTATGGAGAAACTTAGATTCAAATGTTGAAGTTTTTCCTGAGGTGTACAGAGTACAAATGGTGGGGCACCTGTAAGAGTCCTCTGTGTGTTTGGCTTTCTATTCTTTGTAATTTAAGGGATCTTGGTGTCCATCGATGTGATCTGGACACAAATGTCGACCTCCATCTGCGGAGTGTGCACAGCAGTATCACATATCACAGCCCAGCGTGTGTTCATCTTCATGTCCTGCTTTCTGCCACCAGAGACGGGAGACGGTGTATGAGGTTCGGTGTATGAGGTCCAGCAGCTCGGGACGGTCAATGTGACCTATGACCCCGGACTCAGGCTGAAGAGTCACCTCTGGGGTCAAATGAAGAGGCAAATCTTCTGTAAGCAGGCACAATCTAATGATCGGAGCCTGAACATTGAGGTTCTTGCAGGAGCCCAATCATGACCGATTTCTTTGCCGTAAAACAAATGTTCAAGATTCATTAAAGGGGAAGTACGGCCAAAGCTGTATTATATCAAAGGAGGACACTTCGTTCTGCACTCCTGTGACCTGATTTCAGCCAACAGTCCTCTGCTGGATGACGTCACAGAGCCGGCCCAGGTTCTGAAAAGATCCTGACCTGGCTGAGCCTCTCAGTGATTCCCTGTGAGCCTGCCCCCCCCACCCCCTCCACAGACCGGCACTCTGGAGGGGTACAGTGGAGAGCCGGAGACTGACAGTCCCGGCTCTCTGCTCAGAGCAGAGGGGAGAACTGAGCGATCAGCGGTGTTTGATCGCCTGGATTGTATATCATTCAGAAGGTACCGGCCGTACTGGTCCCATGTCGGTGCAGGATGGACTTCCCCTTTAGTAGTGCTGCACAATGATTGCACTGCTCCTCATGCAATGCCAGTCTGCTATGACTGCTAACACAATCGACTCTCTGGGTTTGCTTCAGCAGTTGGTGTCTCGGGTGGCCAATGAGGCAGACTGACGCTGGAGGGGGAACCGGCGATGTATGAAGTGCCGTCATAAAAAAAATATGGAACAAGCAAGCATGTAAAAAGTGAAGTCACATCAAAATCACTTTCAGGTAACAATAATAACAACTCAAACTTACTGAAAAGAACAAAACGCTTTCCCTTTCACGTCAGATCTTATGGCTAAATGTAAACGATCGTTCGGGCTTTGGTTCGATTATTTGTCTCCCGGCCTTAGAGATGTGACTGCGCTCAGCCATCGCTCCCTTCCTGATAAACCCGATCCGGTCATGTGTGGCAGAAGTCTGCTCTCCATCCCGCTCTTCCATGATTGGCCAGGCTCTAGAAGTATCCATCATGGTGGAGCGGTTGTATTTGGTGCCATAAATTCCACACAAGCAAAGGACTTTCCATTCTTCTATGGAACTGGCGCTAATGGCAAACAAACGGACTTTACTGGGACCCATCCCTGGGATGGCAGAATGCACTGGAGCCAATGGGGAGGGTGAAAGAACGGCCATTTCTGGGGGGTTTATCGTTACTTTGGGCTTTTTGGCTTCAAAAAGTGAGGCCCTTTAAATGGCTATTTGGGGGTTACAGAAGCTCAGAACCTTCTCCTCCATCCAACTCTCTTGGACCAGTTCTTGGACCAGAAAAGGCCCCTCATTGGAGGCCTCAATTTTCTTCACAGAACGTTAAAAAAAAGTGAAGAAAAAAAAAATCAAAGCTACTGAACTCCAATAATTCTAAACACAAAAACGGGGGAACCAAATAAAGACCTCACGAAAGGCCCATGGTGCAGTGCGGTAATGGTCATGTTATCGGAGGGTGCATCACACTCATTGGTGCAGTGTGGAGCAATTCATTCCTAATGGCACTTCAACACACCTTGCCAATGTAAGCTCACACATTGGGGAGTACCGAGGTGTTCTGCTTGAGGAAAATGCTGCAGATGATTCTGTGCATTGCCCGCCCGTTCCAAGAGGCTGCCTGATGCACTGTGCCCGTGTGAGGGCCCTTAACAACCAAACCACCCTAAATACGCTCCAACAAAACATCCTGCAAATACGATCAATCAGTCATTTCCTGGTCAAATCAATTTCACCGAGTTCATTCTGCTGATCCTACCCATAACTACCATAGCCAGAAATCCAGCACCAATGGCTTGTGCCTCAAACCTCAGACCTAACATGACCCTCAACCCTCGGACCTAACATATGAACCTCAGACCTAACATGACCCTCAACCCTCAGACCTAACATATGAACCTCAGACCTAACATGACCCTCAACCCTCAGACCTAACATATGAACCTCAGACCTAACATGACCCTCAACCCTCAGACCTAACATATGAACCTCAGACCTAACATGACCCTCATTCCTCAGACTTAACTTGACCCTCAACCCTCAGACCTAACATATGAACCTCAGACCTAACATGACCCTCAACCCTCGGACCTAACATATGAACCTCAGACCTAACATGACCCTCAACCCTCAGACCTAACATATGAACCTCAACCCTCAGACCTAACATATGAACCTCAGACCTAACATGACCCTCAAACTTCAGCCTAACATGACCCTCAACCCTCAGACCTAACATATGAACCTCAGACCTAACATGACCCCCAACCCTCAGACCTAACATATGAACCTCAGACCTAACATGACCCTCAACCCTCAGACCTAACATATGAACCTCAGACCTAACATGACCCTCATTCCTCAGACTTAACTTGACCCTCAACCCTCAGACCTAACAAATGAACCTCAGACCTAACATGACCCTCAACCCCCAGACCTAACATGACCCTCAAACCTCAGACTTAACATGACCCTCAAACCTCAGACTTAACATGACCCTCAGACCTAACAAATGAACCTCAGACCTAACATGACCCTCAACCCTCATACCTAACAAATGAACCTCAGACCTAACATGACCCTAAACCCTCAGACCTAACATATGAACCTCAGACCTAACATGACCATCAACCCTCAGACCTAACATATGAACCTCGGACCTAACATGACCCTCAACCCTCAGACCTAACATGACCCTCAACCCTCAGACCTAACATATGAACCTCGGACCTAACATGACCATCAACCCTCAGACCTAACATATGAACCTCGGACCTAACATGACCCTCAACCCTCAGACCTAACATGACCCTCAACCCTCAGACCTAATATGACCCTCAGACCTAACATGACCCCCAAATCTCAGCCTAACATATGAACCTCAAACCTCAGCCCTAACATGACCCTCAAACCTCAGATCTAACATGACCTTCAAACCTCAGACCTAACATATGAACCCCAAACCTCAGCCTTAACATATGAACCTCAACCCTCAGTCCCTAACATATGACCCTCAGCCTTAACATATGAACCTCAACCCTCAGCCTTAACATATGAACATCAAACCTCAGCCTTAACATATGATCCTCAAACCTCAGCCCTAACATATGACCCTCAAGCCTCAGCCCTTACATATGACCCTCAATTCTCAGCCCTAGCATATGATCCTCAAACCTCAGCCCTAACATGTGACCCTCAGCCCTAACATATGATCCTCAAACCTCAGCCCTAACATGTGACCCTCAAGCCTCAGCCCTTACATATGACCCTCAATTCTCAGCCCTAACATATGATCCTCAAACCTCATCCCTAACATGTGACCCTCAGCCCTAAGATATGATCCTCAAACCTCAGCCTTAACATATGATCTTCAACCCTCAGCCTTAACATATGAACCTCAACCCTCAGCCATAACTTACAAACCTCAACCCTCAGCCTTAAACGATGATCCTTAAACCTCAACATACCAACCTATGAACAATAAAATGCCAACATACAAAAAAAAATAGTTCTGTAAAGCCAATGCCAGATACAACCGGTCCACCATCTGGTCCAGCAGAGGTTCAAAGTTTGCTTGGAGTTTGCACGTTCTACTGGGCACAAACGGACACTTCCATGGCCGGGTACAAACATGAGCACATAAAAGAAGACAATAAATCCACTGCCCGACTTCACCAGATCAGATTTTTTAGAAAAGCGGAGTTCTACTTTAATCTGCAATGAGGTAATCTTTATATGTACAAGGTCATTAAAATGTGTTTTTTTTCTTCTTAAACTGGAAGCTTTCCACAAAATAAGTGCAAGTTACACGAACACGGAATAAAACAACTGTTAATACTGGCACGGTAGCATCACCAGAACCCCATGGCGTTCCCATCATCCTTTGTGTCAAGGTGTACTCTGCAATGTCGCTTATTGCGATTTGGAAGATCATTAATTTAGAAGGGTGCCGTATAATTGTGCTTTCGTAAGACTGTCTTTCCTGGTCAAGCCGATGCTCCCAGTTCTTTGGAATGGCTGGGGCTTGCCGTGAAAGCTGGCGTGTCCTTGGTCAATGGAAGACTGGTGTAAGTCTGAGGCCTCTATGGGGCTTTGAGTCAGAGATTCTGCCGAACTGTTTGGACTGACGTCTACATATTCTCTCTTGACCGACGAGTTGGAATCTAAGCTTTTGCTCCCCAGCTGGACTGACATCCGCTCGCTTTTTTGTTCTCTTGTTTCTTTCGCCTTAAAAGAAGACAGCATTTCTTGCTTACAGCTAGCGCTGATGTCGATTTTCAAGCCAGAATCCGTTCTTAGGAAGCACGAGTCTCCCATTCTGCTTTGACAAACCTCTTCTCCTTCGGAAAAACTATCTTGCTTGTAACTGGCATACAGCGGGCTTATGGGGCTCTCTAGCTGCTTAACTGGACTTGGCGCAAAATACTGTTCTGTAAAACTACACTGTGATATCCTGCCATCGTTGCTAAAAGAGTACGCGCCGATATCTTCCACGCTGAGCTGCCTCCACCTCGTTGGCAAGTCTTCTTCGGAAAGGTTCGAGCTTCTACACTCGCTGTGTGACTTGTGAGCTCCCAGTGCCTGTTGAGTACGGATTCTGGAGAAGTGAAATGGTTCCTCTACGTAGGAAGAAGATCTTATGAAATTTGGAGATACTGCATTTTCCGGACTGTGCTCCATGTGCTGGACAGACTTGGACTTTACAAAGCGAGGACTGGCTGCATGTTCGTAACCGGTGGTGGACTTCCTTTCGAAGAGGTCATCTCGGTTTCCCATGTATATGGCCTGTTGGGAAGCAGTTAACGTATTGGCTTGGTTGTTCTCTTTCTCTTCAGAAGTAGCGCTGAAGCTGGAGTAGGAACTTGATGTTGGTAAAGATGCTACATATTCATTGAAGGCTTCGTGTGAAAAACTTGAGTGGAAGCCATCTTCTACCGTGCTGTCTGTTGAGTTCTGAGATCTCAAGAAGACCTCGTCTTTGACCTGTACGTCAAAACTCTGTCTCCGGTCTCTCCTCCGTTCTTCTGGGCAGTACAGGGCGGTGTCACTACAGTAGATCTCCGACTTAAACTGCTGCCTCTGACGGAACTTTTCTTCTGGATCTTGCCCTGCTTGCTCATAGGTAAGGTCCCTCATCGAAGTACTTGATAGATGTGAAGAGAGGCTGCTGGGATCGGGCTTTTCCAGCACCTTAGCAATGACACAAGTAGGAACGCTGTCAGCATATGAAGCATTACAGAGGGACACAGTCAGTTTACAGCCATGCTTTGCCAAGTGTTCACTTACTCTTTCCTGGAAGTCGGCCGGCAGCTGCAGACGGAAAAAAAAAAAGGTGTAAAAATTAATGAGAAACGATATGAAAAAGAAAAAGAAAGTCAGCCTCCATGGGGTGCGTCAAATCAGACATTACAACCGGAAAAGGAGTTCTCATCACAGACGTATTTTTAGCTCCATGATGAATTCTCTGTCTGTCGCTATGTCTGCCCAGAAGATGACCGGCCTACATGTTTATACCCCGGGCTGGCGGCTGGTAAATATATCTTCGCTGATTCATCATCGTTGGGCTTAGAGGACGACTAGCGAGCGCCATCTTCCCGTCAGTGGAAGCCTGATGGGTGCAAGCCACGACGAGCTCCTCAGCTCCCTATCGGAGGCTCTGCCTTGCCTGAGGTTTCCATGTTTTCCTGAATTTCTCTGGATTCTCCTCATCATCAGTATTGTTGGGCTTCATGTTCGGGTCGAATGTAAGTTCCACTCGGCCGGTCATGTGTTTGGTGAACACGCAAACGGTTCGTTCACCCGCCGCGCCCCACAAGGCACTGCGCTCTGACAGTTCATTGTGATTGGCCAAAGCAATGCACCTGATACAATGCTTTGTCCAATCACAGCACAATTGGGCGGAGCTAGAAGTGACATCGCCGCTAGCCCCACCCAATTGTTTACATCTGACCTGCAAATGTCAGATTGCGGCGAGCGCTTGGCGGGTGCGGACGGGTCAGCGAGCGTCGGGATTTTTTTATTTCGGCAAGTCAGCATCGTCATGACAACGCTGGACGCCGAGATTGGTGGATCACAATGATGGAACCATTTTTTGGCTTTTTTTTTTTTTAAATAAAGGACTTGACAAAAACTGCTCTGATTTTATTCACATTTTATACTTTTTTGGTGAATAGGTACCCCATAATCATTCACAAAGGGGGGGGGGGGATCTGGGGGCCCCCTTGTTAAAGAGGGCTTCCAGATTCCAATAAGTCACGCCCCGCAGACCCTCCACAACCACAGCCCAGGGTTGTCCCCACCAACACGAGGACAAGGTGCTTTGGGGGGCAAGCCCCCCCATCCCAAAGCACCCCACATATTGAGGGCTTATGGCCTAGTATGGTTCAGGGGGAGGGGGGCTCTCGATTGCCCCCCCTTGCTATTCCTGGCCTGCCAGACCTGTGCTTGGATCAAGGGTCTGGTATGGCTTTTAGGGGTAACCCCACGCACTTTTTCAAAACAATTTTTACTGCGGGGCCCCCCCTGACCCCCCTAACCTTCCTACCAGACCTAAAGGGTCTGGTATGGATTGGGGGGGCACACGGGGATGTGACCACAAACTAGAACATGGGGACGTGACCTCCAACTAGAACATGGGGACGTGACCTCCAACTAGAACACGGGGATGTGACCACAAACTAGAACATGGGGACGTGACCTCCAACTAGAACACGGGGACGTGACCTCCAACTAGAACACAGGGATGTGACCACAAAGTAGAACATGGGGACGTGACCTCCAACAAGAACACAGGGATGTGACCTCCAACTAGAACACGGGGATGTGACCACAAACTAGAACACGGGGACGTGACCTCCAACAAGAACACAGGGATGTGACCACAAAGTAGAACACGGGGATGTGACCTCCAACAAGAACACGGGGATGTGACCTCCAACATGAACACGGGGATGTGACCTAAAACTAGAACACGGGGATGTGACCTCAGACTAGGACATGGGATGTGACCTCCAACAAGAACACGGGGATGTGACCTCCAACATGAACACGGGGATGTGACCTAAAACTAGAACACGGGAATGTGACCTCAGACTAGGACATGGGATGTGACCTCAGACTAGGACATGGGGATGTGACCTCAGACTAGGACATGGGGATGTGACCTCAGACTAGGACATGGGGACGTGACCTCAGACTAGGACATGGGGACGTGACCTCAGCCTAGGACATGGAGACGTGACCTCAAACTAGGACATGGAGATGTGACCTCAGACTAGGACATGGGGACGTGACCTCAGACTAGGACATGGGGATGTGACCTCAGACTAGGACATGGGGACGTGACCTCAGACTAGGACATGGGATGTGACCTCAGACTAGGACATGGAGATGTGACCTCAGACTAGGACATGGGATGTGACCTCAGACTAGGACATGGAGATGTGACCTCAGACTAGGACATGGAGATGTGACCTCAGACTAGGACATGGGATGTGACCTCAGACTAGGACATGGAGATGTGACCTCAGACTAGGACATGGGATGTGACCTCAGACTAGGACATGGAGATGTGACCTCAGACTAGGACATGGGATGTGACCTCAGACTAGGACATGGAGATGTGACCTCAGACTAGGACATGGGGACGTGACCTCAGACTAGGACATGGAGATGTGACCTCGTTAGGATGCCAACATTCACATCAAACAGATGAGATTTCAATTTGCAAATTGCAGCAGTGTGACCAGGCACCATATACAGGGTGAAGGGGGAGGGGTTACAGAAATGCCACGCCCACCTCGGACAGCTTGTGCGCTCGGTAGAAGCCTTTGCTGCACTGTAGTAGCTGAGAGGCCAAGTTGCAGTCCTTCCGGTACAGCTCCTACAAATCCAACACACAGCGAGGTCAAAGGTTATTATCCACACAGGTCTGGTCACATGACACTGCGGCTGTGATGGGGATCGATGCCTCGCCCAAACCGGCCCCTCGCCCAAACCGGCCCCTCGCCCAAACCGTCACCGACCCCTCGCCCAAACCGGCCCCTCGCCCAAAGCGACCCCTCGCCCAAACCGACACTGAACCCTCGCCCAAACCGGCCCCTCGCCCAAACCGGCCCCTCGCCCAAACCGTCACCGACCCCTCGCCCAAACCGTCACCGACCCCTCGCCCAAACCGGCCCCTCGCCCAAACCGCCCCCTTGCCCAAACCGACCCCTCGCCCAAACCGACACTGAACCCTCGCCCAAACCGGCCCCTCGCTCAAACCGGCCCCTCGCCCAAACCGTCACCGACCCCCCCTCGCCCAAACCGGCCCCTCGCCCAAACCGGCCCCTCGCCCAAACTGGCCCCCGCCCAAACCGGCCCCTCGCCCAAACCGTCACCGACCCCTCGCCCAAACCGTCACCGACCCCTCGCCCAAACCGGCCCCTCGCCCAAACCGATCCCTCGCCCAAACCGGCCCCACGCCCAAACCGACACCGACCCCTCGCCCAAACCGGCCCCTTGCCCAAACCGGCCCCTCACCCAAACCGGCCCCCGCCCAAACCGACACCGAACCCTCGCCCAAACCGGCCCCCACCCAAACCGACACCGAACCCTCGCCCAAACCGGCCCCTCACCGAAACCGCCCCTCGCCCAAACCGGCCCCTCTCCCAAACCGGCCCCTCGCCCAAACCGACACCGAACCCTCGCCCAAACCGGCCCCTCGCCCAAACGGGCCCCTCGCCCAAACGGGCCCCTCGCCCAAACCGACACCGGCCCCTCGCCCAAACCGACCCCTCGCCCAAACCGATCCCTCGCCCAAACCGGCTCCTCACCCAAACCGGCCCCTCACCAAAGCTGGCCCCTCGCCCAAGCTGGCCCCTCGTCCACACCGGCTCCTTGCCCAAACTGGCCCCTCGCCCAAACTGACCCCTTGCTCAAATCGACCCCAACCCCTCGTCCAAACCGGCCCTGACCCCTCGCCCAAACCGGCCCCTCACCCAAACCGATCCCCTGCCCAAACCGGCCCCTTGCACAACCCGACCCCTTGCTGCAAACCGACTCCTCGACCCAACCGGCGCCTTGCCCAAGCCAGCCCCTCGCCGAAACCGGCCCCTCGCCCAGACCGATCCCTCGCACTCACCGGCCCTTCGCCCAAACCGGCCCCTCGCCCAGACCGATCCCTCGCACTCACCGGCCCTTCGCCCAAAACCGGCCCCTCGCCCAGACCGATCCCTCGCACTCACCGCCCCAACCATTTCAAACAAAGATTTCTGTCCAATCCAGAGATTTCCTAATGCAGTACTTGTTTCTGCCAGTAGATGTCCTCAGCATCATTGAATCCACTCCCCTCCCAGCCCATGTGCTCCTGGCTCCGCCCCCAGCCTGTGATTGGACAGTAAGAGATGAAGCAGCGCTGTGAGGAGCTCCACTGCCTGTAACTCTGTTTCTCTCCTCCTATCAGCATGCTTCTTGTCAGCTCATGAACTGATGTGTCCCAATGTTTGGTGTCTCGGTGCAGCTTTCCCTGACCTGCCTAGTGTCCCAGTATTTGGTGTCTCGGTGCAGCTTTCCCTGACCTGCCTTGTGTCCTGGTATTCGGTGTCTCGGTGCAGCTTTCCCTGACCTGCCTTGTGTCCCGGTATTCGGTGTCTCGGTGCAGCTTTCCCTGACCTGCCTAGTGTCCCAGTATTTGGTGTCTCGGTGCAGCTTTCCCTGACCTGCCTTGTGTCCTGGTATTCGGTGTCTCGGTGCAGCTTTCCCTGACCTGCCTTGTGTCCTGGTATTCGGTGTCTCGGTGCAGCTTTCCCTGACCTGCCTTGTGTCCTGGTATTCGGTGTCTCGGTGCAGCTTTCCCTGACCTGCCTTGTGTCTTGGTATTCGGTGTCTCGGTGCAGCTTTCCCTGACCTGCCTTGTGTCCCGGTATTCGGTGTCTCGGTGCAGCTTTCCCTGACCTGCCTTGTGTCCCAGTGTTTGGTGTCTCAGTGCAGCTTTCCCTGACCTGCCTTGTGTCCTGGTATTCGGTGTCTCGATGCAGCTTTCCCTGACCTGCCTTGTGTCCCAGTGTTTGGTGTCTCGGTGCAGCTTTCCCTGACCTGCCTTGTGTCCCAATGTTTGGTGTCTCGGTGCAGCTTTCCCTGACCTGCCTTGTGTCCTCGTATTCGGTGTCTCAGTGCAGCTTTCCCTGACCTGCCTTGTGTCCTGGTATTCGGTGTCTCGGTGCAGCTTTCCCTGACCTGCCTTGTGTCCTGGTATTCGGTGTCTCGGTGCAGCTTTCCCTGACCTGCCTTGTGTCTTGGTATTCGGTGTCTCGGTGCGGCTTTCCCTGACCTGCCTTGTGTCCTGGTATTCGGTGTCTCGGTGCAGCTTTCCCTGACCTGCCTTGTGTCTTGGTATTCGGTGTCTCGGTGCAGCTTTCCCTGACCTGCCTTGTGTCCTGGTATTCGGTGTCTCGGTGCAGCTTTCCCTGACCTGCTCTGTGTAGGAACATTGATGGGGAAGTAACTCCAGGCAGACATAAAGCCACCAATCAATGTATTCATCAGTACATCAGTAAGTGTATGTGACTGCCCATTATATACAGGAGGGGGAGGGGGAGGGGCAGGACTGAGAGCCAATGAAATGTGGTGCATACAAATATGTTAAAAAGGCACATGCTGATAGGAGGAGACAACAGAGTGAGGGAAGGGGTGACCTCCCTTCTGCTGCTCCTTCACTGTCCAATCAGCAGGCTGGAGGAGGAGCAAATGGTCTAAAACTGTAACTTTGCATGGCTAAGCTTTGTGGCAGAGCTGTGTAAATCTCAGGACTGGATGGATAGAATTTGCAGGTAAAACATTCGTGGAGTTCGGCTTTAATATAAAAACTACTCGGGGGAGGGGATTTACTGAGATTGGAGGGCTCAGAATCTGGAGCAGCTCTGCATGGCGGCCAATCAGCTTCTACCTTCAGCTTGTTCTGTGAAGCTTTGACTATCAATCCTGGAAGCTGATTGGCTCCTGTGCAGAGCTGCCCCGGATTCTACACCCCCCCAGTCCTCAGTAACTCTCCCCCCGAGGGGTCCATCTTCTATGTCAGCGCTCCATCCAGCGCATTCTATGTGATCCGAATGTTGGATTGTATCGGCGGTCCACTTACGTTGTCCTCGGAGAGCTTGTCGATGGTCACCTTGGCCTCCAGCAGATGATTGTTGAGGGCGATCACCTCGTGGCCCAGAGCTCTCTTCTCCTCTTCATAATGCTGTCCCTGGAAATACACAGAAGGCGTTACTAGGACAGGAATGGATGGTCCCTACAACCATTGTCCTAGAGCCCCTCCACCATTGCCCACAATGGCTTCCTACCCCCCCCAGGTCCTAGAGCCCCTCCACCACCATGCCCACAATGGCTTCCTATACATACCCCCCCAGGTCCTAGAGCCCCTCCACCATGCCCAATGGCTTCCTATACATTACCCCCCAGGTCCTAGAGCCCTCCCACCATGCCCACAATGGCTTCCTATACATACCCCCCCAGGTCCTAGAGCCCCTCCACCATGCCCACAATGGCTTCCTATACATACCCCCCCAGGTCCTAGAGCCCCTCCACCATGCCCCCTGCCCACAATGGCTTCCCTATACATACCCCCGGGCCTAGGCCCCCCACCTGCCACAATGGTTCCTATAATTACCCCCCGGGAAAAGGGGGGAAAATAATTTTGGTTTTTAAAAAGGCCTAGAGCCCCTAAACCATGGTTCCA